CTAAACTCAGAATGTAGAGACCCCTGGAATATTGGAAACCCAATGGCAAATCTGTCTTCCCTAAACATCTTGAGGGCAGCACATGTCTAGGTGGGTTGGAGGTTTAAAAAAATACATCAGGATATCTCTTTATAAATATCATACAGCTCAGGAGCTTACATTAACAACAAATACAAGAACAGCAGTAAAAGCAGCTGCCATTAATTAATCAATTAATTGATTAGATAAAAGATTATTTAGTGGTGCCAGGAGCTGCAGATCTAGCAGTGAACAAAGCAGATAAAAATCCCAGCCTTCATAGAGGTTATGTGTACAGAGTACTTAGTGTGCCAGATATTGTGTACTGTTTTATAGAGATTTATTACAGTTATTCCTTATGACAATTTTTTTTGTGTGGTGAGGAAGATTGTTGCTGAGCTAACAACTGTGCCAATCTTCCTTGATTTTGTATATGGGATGCTGCCACAGCATGGCTCAACAAGCGGTGTGTAGATGCATAGGTCTGTGCCACCCAGGATCTGAACCTGCGAACCCAGGGCCACTGAAGCAGAGCATGCAAACTTAACTACTATGCCACTGGGCTGCCCCCTCTCATGACAACTTTCGAGGTAGTTTTTCTTTTGGAAAGTATCATACCGTTATAGAATGAAAAGAGTGAGACTTAGAAGGACTAAATCAGTGATCGAGGTCCAGTAACCAGGAAGCAAGACAGCCAAGTCCCAGACCCAGGCCTGCCTGACTCTGAAGTCTAGAGATCTGATGCTTCTAAACCCTATTTGTGTTGTCTCCTAATACACCCATTTGAGTTCTGTGAATTCCCTCAGCTATCAACTGTTAACCTCAGTCTACCAATTTGGCTTTGTGTGTCTGCTCTATTCATATGTATTTCCATTTCACAATAGATTTTTGTTTACAGGTATATATTTGCTGATTCCACCAAGACAAACACATAATCATAGCAACACCATTAGTGCTTTATGTTTTTTTCCTACATTTCTGATGAGAGCATTTATCAAGCCTCGATTCGTAGGACGCTCACTAAAATATCATTATCTAGCTCCATTCAGTTGTCTAATAAATGATGTATTCCTGTTCTCAAACAGCCAAAAGTGTGTTCTAATAAAGTCCTGCATATAGGTAGACTAAGATTTCAAGCACAGATACATTTCATATTTATATCTGATTTTTACAAGGATAGAGTATATATATGACATTTGCTAGGGTAAACTTAATTAGGCTTGGAGTTATGTTTCCCTGTATGCTTCCAGATTAGAGTTGGTCCAAAGGACTTTTGTACACTTGGAATGCAGAAATAAAGGAGCATCTGTTGTTCTCTGAGAGACTTTTCCCAACCATATCTGGTGCAAACATTCACAGAGGTGCTTTCTCTGTGTCCATTTATTCCTCCAGCCTCCTAGCCATGCTGACTAACAGTGACCTCAGGCTCTCCCAGACACTTGGCTGTGGACTCACTGATTCAGTAGCTACTCAGGAGCAATGGCTTTGCACAGGCTTATCCACAAACTTGCCTTTCATGTTTCTGCATCTATGGCTTGTAGGACATGGCTTCTCTGATTGACTGGTTGGTGATTCAATCTCTGATCCGATCCCTCTTCTGGATCTGTATTTTCCAATGATTTTGTAAGTTCTACATCCTATAGTAATTTCTTTATTCAAAAGACTCAGACTGACACTTTTCTACTGATTGAAACTGGGTTGCTTCACCAACAAAAGACGAATGCTAATCATTAGCGAGCCAGAAAGAGAAAGACAAATACCGTTATGATCTCATTTATTTCTGGAATCTAAAAACAGCTGAACTCCTAGAAACAGAGAGTAGAATGGTGGTTGCCAGGGTCTAGGGGGTGGGAGAAATGGGGAGATGTTGGTCAAAGGGTACAAATTTCCAGTCGTAAGATGGATAAGTTCTGGGACTCTAATGTTCAATATGGTGACTACAGTTAACAATGCTGTATTACATACTTGAAAGTTGCTAAAAGAGTAAATCTTAAATGTCACCACACACACACAAAAAGCTAATTATTAAAAAAAATAGAAATGTTGTCTTATTTGGAAAGTTAATATGCTACACATGGTGCAGTATTCTATTCTAGCACCTCAGATATTTTTAAAAATGCTCTATTTTGTCTTCTGTTGATTTGAAGAAGCAGTAGATTGAAATTGACACAGCAAGAAATGACAGAGCAGCTCTACCCCAAATCTCCACACAAGTTTGATTTTGCATGTAATACAAAGGACAAAAAATTACTGATAAATCTTTAACTCCATTCCTTTATTATCTTTTAAGTCTTTACTGTGGAACATAAAAAATTGTTCAACTGAAATTAATTGAACCACAAGTTGTTTATGTAACTGTTTAAGGATAGTATGTCAAAGAATATTATGATTCCTAGTAAACTGACAGGGAAAAAGGATTTGTTAGTTGTAGTTTGAAAGGATAAAAAAACTGTCAGAGATCATGTTTGAAATATACATTCTGCCTCACTGAACTGCATAATTTATATCAATAATTTATGACCATACTATTTTTTACTTAATGTGCACATTAGCTTTTATGAGTATGTTGGGAATTATTGCAAACTGAATTTCCTATAAACTATACCTGTATTTCACAGGACTTTGCTTTACGCATTTTAAGTACCTTACTCAATGTGTAGCTGATCCAATTTTTTTCATTTATTTTTTAAACTTTTCATTTTTGAACTGTTTTGGATTTACATAGAAGTTGAGAAGATAATACAGAAAATTCCTATATAGCCCAGGCCCAATTTTCTCCTATTATTAACATCTTATATGACACTTTTATTAAAAGTAATCAACCAATATTGACATATTATTATGTAAAGCCCATAATTTATTCAGGTTTTCTTAGTTTTAACCTGATGTCCTTTTTCTATTCTTGGATCCTATCCAGAATATCACATTGCATTTGGTCATCATGTCTCCTTAGCTGCTCTTGACTGTGACAGTCTCTCAGACTTTCCTTGATTTTGATGACCTTGACAGTTTTGGGGAGTTCTGTTCAGGTATTTTGTAGAATGTCCCTCAATTTGAATTTGTCTGATATTTTTCTTATGATTAGACTGGGGTTAGGGGTTTCTGTGAGGAAGACCAGAGAAGCAAAGTACCCTTTTCATCACATTATATTAAAGGTAAGTACCAGCAATGCTACTCATCACTGGTCATGTTAACCCTGATCACCTGGGTGAGATAGTGTTTGTCAGGTCACTCCACTGTGGAGTTACCCTTTTTTCTCTTTCCATACTCTGCTTTTTGAAAGGAAGTCACTGTATTAGTTTTCTGGGGCTACCGTAACAAAGTATCACTAACTGAGTGCCTTAATATCAGCATCTCATAGTTCTGAAGCCAAGAAGTCCGAGATCAAGGTGTTGGCAGGGTTGGCTCCTTCTGAGGGCAGTGATAGAAAGCCTGTTCCAAGCCTTTCTCCTAGCTTCTGGGGCTTTGCTGACATCTTTGGAACTCTTTGGTTTGTACACACATCACTTGGATCTCTGCCTTTATACTCAGTTGGCGTCCTCCCTGTGTTCATGTCTATGTCCAAATTTCCCCATCTTATTTATTTATTTTTAATTTTCCTTTTTTTCCCCTTTTTTTTGTAGGGAAGGATTTGCCCTGAGCTAACATCTGTTGTCAATCTTCCTCTTTTTTTCCCCCTCCTCAATGCCCCAGTGCATGGTTATATATCCCAGTTCTAAGTCCTTCTAGTTCATCTATGTGAGTCACTGCCACAGCACGGCAACTGACAGGTGGTGTGGTTCTGTGACAGGGAAATGAACCCAGCTGCCAAAGCAGTGAGAGTGTCAAACTATAACCACTAGGCAATCAGGGAGGTTTGAAATTTCCCTGTTTTATAAGGGCACTATTTATATTATATTAGGGGCCCACCATATTCCAGTACAGCCTCACCTTAACTAATTACATCTGTAATGACCTTATTCCCAAATAAAATCTAATTCTGTGGTACTGAGATCTAAGATTTGAACATGTGAAGTTTGGGGGACACAATTCAACCCATAACAGTTACTATGCATGATATGCACTTAGAGAGTGGGGAGTTATGGTCTACCTCATTTATTTATATTAGTATGGACTCATTGGTACTTAGTTTATGCTTTGGGTTATCATCCAATGCTATTTTGTTTTCTTATTTGGCCATTTGGAGCTCTTTCATTTGGGTCCTATGTCCCTTTAAAATACTCCTATCAACATAGTTTTTATTTTTCTTAAAAAACTTTTTTAGCGCTTCCTTAATTTCTGACACCACAATACCTTTTATTGGATAACAGTACAGGCATATCTCATTTTATTGCACTTTGCTTTATTACGCTTCACAGATATTGCATTTTTTACAAATTGACAGCTTGTGTCTACCCTGTATTGAGCAAGTCTATTGGCGCCATTTTTCCAGCAGCATTTGCTCAGTTCATATTTTTGTGTCATATTTTGGTAATTCTTGCAATAGTTTCAAATTTTTCATTATTATTATATTTGTTTTGGTGGTCCGTCATCAGTGATTACTATTCAATTACTATTGTAACTACTATTACTATTGTAATTGTTTTGGGGCACCACAAACCACACCCATATAAGATGGCAAACCTAATTGATAAATGTTCTGACTTCTCCATAGACCCGCCATTCCTCTTCTCTCTCCCTCTCCCTAGGCCTCCCTATTCCCTGAAACACAACAATATTGAAATTAGGCCAATTAATAACCCTGAAATGGCTTCTAAGTGTTCAAGTGAAGGGAAGAGTTGCAAGTCTCTCACTTTAAATCAGAAGCTAAAAATGATTAAGTTTAGTGAGGAAAGCATGTTGAAAGCCAAGATAAGCTGAAAGCTAGGCCTCTGTGCCAAAGAGTTAGCCAAGTTGTGAATGCAAAGGAAAAGTTCTTGAAGGAATTCAAAAATGCTACTGCAGTGAACACAGAAATAATGAGAAAGTGATACAGACTTACTGCTGATATGGAGAAAGCTTCAGTGGTCTGGATAGAAGATCAAATCAGCCACAATATTCCCTTAAGCCAAAGCCTAATCCACAGCACGGCCCTAACTCCCTTCAATTCTAGGAAGGCTGAGAGAGGTGAGGAAGCTGCAGAAGAAAAGTTTGAAGCCAGCAGAAGTTGGTTCATGACATTTAAGGAAAGAAGTCATCTCCATAACATCAAAGTGCAAAGTGAAGCAGCAAGTGCTGATGTAGAAGCTACAATAAGTTACCCAGAAGATCTAGCTAAGATAATTCATGAAGGTGGCTACATTAAACAACAGATTTTCAATGTAGATGAAACAGCCTTCTATCGGAAGAAGATGCCATCTAGGACTTTCATAGCTAGAGAGGAGAAGTCAATGCCTGCCTTCAAATCTTCAAAGGACAGGCTGACTCATGTTAGAGGCTAAATGCAGCTGGTGACTTTAAGTTGAAGTCACTGTTTACCTTTCCAAAAATCCTAGGGCTCTTAAGAGTTATGTTAAATCTACTCTTCCTGTGCTCTATAAATGGAACAACAAAGCCTGGATGACACCACATCTGTTTACAGCATGGTTTACTGAATATTTTAAGCCTCCTGTAGAGATGGACTGCTCAGAAAGAAAGATTCCTTTAAAAATATTACTACATTGACAATGTATCTGGTCACCTAGGAGCTCTGATGGAGATGTACAATGAGATTAATGTTGTTTTCATGCCAGCTAACACACTATCCATTCTGCAGCCTGTAGATCAAGGAGTCATTTTGGACTTTTGAGACTTATTATTTAAGAAATACATTTCATCAGGCTATGGCTGCCATAGATAGTGATTCCTCTGATGGATCTGGCAAAGTAAGTTGAAAACTTTCTGGAAAGAATTCATCATTCTGGATACCATTAAGAATATTTGTGATTTATGGGAAGAGGTCAAAATATCAACATTAACAGGAATTCAGAAGAAGTTGATTCTAACCCTCATGGATGACGTTGAGGGATTCCAGACTTCAGTGGAGGAAGTAACTGGAAATAGCAAGAGAAGTAGAATTAGAAGTGGAGCCTGAAGATGTGGCTGAATTGCTGCAATCTCACAATAAAATGTTAATGGATGAGGAGTTTCTTCTTATAGATGGAGGAAGAAAGTGGTTTCTTGAGATAGAATCTACTCCTGGTGAAGAAGCTGTGAAGATTGTCAAAATGACAACAAAGGATTTAGAATATTACACAAACCTAGTTGATAAACTGACAGCAGGGTTTGAGTTTGAGAGGATTGACTCCAATTTTGAAAGATGTTCTATGTGGATAAAATGCTATCAAACAGCACTGCATGCTACAGAGAAATCATTCATGAAAGGAAGAATCAATCAATATGGGAAACTTCATTGTTGTCTTACTTTAAGAAATTGCCACAGCCAACCCAACCTTCAGCAACCAACACCCAGATCAGTTAACAACCATCAACAATGAGGCAAGACCCTCTACCAGCAAAAAGACTATGACTCACTAAAGATTCTGATATGGTTAGCATTTTTTAGCAATGAAGTACGTTTTTGGTTTTTTTTTGATGGGAACAATTCACCCTGAGTTAACATGTGTTGCCAATATTCCTTTCTTTTTTTCCTCCCCAAAGCCCCAGTATATAGTTGTATATTCTAGTTGTAAGTCCTTCTAGTTCTTCTATGTGGGATGCTGCCACAGAATGGCTATAGACAGATGAGCGGTGTGGTTCTGTACCTGGGAACCGAACTTAAGCCACCAAAGTGGAGCATGTGGAACTTTAACCGCTAGGACATCAGGGTTGGCTCTTAACTACTTTTTAACTATGGTGGGAAACCAAAAAATTTGGGTGATTCACTTTATTGCAATATTCACTTTATTGCAGTGATCTAGAACCTAATCCACAATATCTCCAAGGTATACCTGTTTTAGCAACAAAGATCAGTGTACCACGTGTGCTCATTGCTACCAAATTGTTTCTAGGCTCTCAGCTGACAAAGCAAGGAGATATATGTGTATATACTATCCTGTGTAAATACACAGATCTCTATATATTTCCACATGTAGCTGTTTGAACCTATATTCAGCTAAACAAGTTCATACTGTCTCCAGCTCTAATCCATTACCATGCGAATCATTCTAGCCTCTTCCCCTTGCTTACGTGTAATCTCCCGGTTCAACAGTGAGAAACCTGGCACTTACCACCCACCATCCATTCACTTAATTGTTCAATTCTAGTATACATTTATAGCAGGTTTTCATTTGCTTTTAATCTACAGAATTATTAAAGTATAAATATTTATAAACCAATCATAAATATTTAAATATGCAAAAATTCCACACAGTAATGGCTTACATTTCCTAGGAATAGCTGCAGACTAAACTGATGAAAATTAATTTCTTCTCTGGATCACCGTTAATGAGGACAATGCCATTACTGAAGTGGAACTGACTTTCTGCTTAATGTAATATGTTAAAATATGCAATAGACTCATTAGAATAAATGATACAAACATCAATTTCATGTTTGCATCAGAGAAGTAAATTATAAAGTTTATGTAATCTCTCTCCCTCTCTCTATATATATTTGTAGTCATAGGTTGTACATACATGTACTCTAAATATCCTTACACACACATATAACAAAAATTTCATTATGAACACTTCAGAAATATTGAAATAATTATTAAGATAAGATCACCCAAAATGGAAATGAGAGACAAAGATAAAAGCTAAAGAGTATTTTCAGTATATTAAACGTCTTTGACTATAAGAGGAAAGGAAGATCATAATGGTAGAGGTTTGTATTGGTAGAATTCCAACTATCTCAAATGTATCAAAATGTACAATTTTCTCTTTGCTCATCATATGCAACACTGGATTTTTGCCTGTCCTTTATATACTGTATTTGGAATAGTATTTATCAATAGTGTTTTTCTTTCTTTCTTTCTTTTTGGTTATACATTTAGTTATAATTGCAGAGTCCCACATGCTTCAAGGCAAAGAAAAAAAGTGAATGTGTGGGGAAAAGTCCTAAAAATTAAATTAAAAACAAATGGAGTTAATATACAAAATAGATGCATGGATCCTCTGCACCAATTATCTACAGCTCTCGGTTTTCCCTCAGGCCCTGTGTATCAGACTCCACCTCTGCACTGCTTCAGAGCCTCTCAGCCTCCCTTGTCTCTTGTCCCAGCTGCCACTGTGGTGGTGAGCTCAGCATGGACTTGGAGTGACTTTGCACAGATACAACATGCAGCCCCAGGCCCTGAACCTGAGCCACATGCTCTCTCCTTCCATCCTGTAGCTTCTCTGTTGATATTGCTTTGGGATCTTCACTCTGAAACCTCACCAGTGTCATCATTAAAGGAATAAAACAGGGGGCCGGCTTGGTGGTGCAGTGGTTAAGTGTGCACGTTTTGCTTCTGGGGCCCGGGGTTCACCGGTTTGGATCCTGGGTGTGGACATGGCACTGCTTGGTAAGCCACGCTGTGGTAGGCATCCCACATATAAAGTAAAGGAAGATGGGCACAGATGTTAGCTCAGAGCCAGTCTTCCTCAGCAAAAAGAGGAGGATTGGCAGCGGATGTTAGTTCAGGGCTAATCTTCCTCAAATAAAAAGGAACAAAATAACCTTTTCTCTTCCCAACTTTAATCCTGGATGCTGTTTTCCTTCTATTGCTCTTTTCTTAGCAAACTCTTATGCATCTGTCTAATTATTGTGTGATGGAGAAAGCCACAGACACCAAATGGGGGCCTATCCTGTGTGAGCCTCCGAGTCTGTCATGGGGAGAATATGGTGATTCATTATAACTTTAATAGAGTTCTTAATAGCACCTTTTTGACCTTCTTTATTTGCCTTAAGAGTTTAACACGCAGCTGTTCAACATGAAGGACTTCACGTACATCAGGAGAATAGCTGGTTACCCTTGGTTGGTCAAGGGAAAAGGGATTTAATTTTTAGTTTAGGCTCACTGAGATCTCTTAGAGGGGAAAATTTGTAGGTTGAATTTAAATCTTAGCCCAAGCTCAGTATTACCCGGGCAGAGGTCCTTGAGAGAAGTGTCTCTATCAAGGCCTTCGCTCCTGATCCCAAGTCACATAGAACCCATTCACTTGACTTCATTTGTGACTAACTGACTGCTTTTAAAATAAAGCTTATGTCCTGCTAGTCCTTCTTGACAATTCCCTTTGCAGCAGGGGAGATTGTTAGTGCAAACTGGAGAACACAGTAAGAAAAAAGAGAAGAACATTAAGACTTCCTCCCAAACCGTGCACAGTGACATTCAGGCTGTGGCGCAGTGATGCTTCCCCACCAGTGGGCACTTCCTAACCTTCTATTCATGGGAAATTCAATTAAAATGTGCATCTCTCCTATTTCCTGAAAAATTTAATTTGCATCTTAACTTGCTACTGCTGTGCCCAAGATTTTCAAATCAAATATTATAAATGAACTCGTCAACTCCAGCAGCTTTATGCTGGGAGCTAAACACTTCATAAATTCTCTTTCATTTTGTAGTCTATTAAGATACGCTTATAAGTGAATGTGTAGTGTCCTAAATTGTTAATAGGCAAGTTTTACAATGAGTTTTAAATTAGACTCTCTCCATTCACTAATCTACATCATTTCCTGTGTGTATTTTTATCTTCACGCCAGACTCATGATCTCAGACTCCAACACAAGCCATTGTGTTGTTTGCATAATCTCAGAAGTCCTGTAGTCTATCTTGTAAACTTGGTTTTCTCTTTTATGTTTCTGAACTATTTTAGATATACTTAGCCACAATGCAAAACAAAAAAAATCAGAATTCAGTAGACCTGTCTGGCTTTGAATGGAGAAATTATAGCCTATGACCTTTTTATTCCTTAATAAAATATTCAAGATTGAAATTCAAGATGTTTTTATTTTTTTTAAATGTATGTAAGAATTGACTATCATATAGTGGTATCCTCTGTATAAGTCAGAATTAATTTTACTTACAAGTGGGAAGAAAACACCACACTAAATTTCCTGGATGTGATGAGGTATAGCTGACTTTAGGCATGGCTAGATCCTAGGGCTCCTTCAAATTGTGTATCTCT